GCGATAAGCTCCAACTCAGATTATCTTATAAGACCGACCCTGTTAGGATGATCTGCAAAGTGTTTGCTTAGAGTAGTGATGATTAACTTTGAAGTCGACATCAAAGCAGCCGGATATTCTTGATCGGGATTTAATCCCAGCTTGGAGCTTACAACCATAAGAGCTTCGATCACCGATGATGCTGGGATCATTTCTCAACTGCAGTAACCAACCATCATCACACTTTGCGAAGATGATGACTTTATGACAGCTAATCGCTCGTGTCGACTCGTCGTCGGGTTCGTCGTTTGCAATAGCATTTCAGTTTTTCAATCAAAGACACAACCAACCATCATCCTGGATAATCTGCGCGCTTAGGATGGATGATAAATCGTGGCGATCGGATGGTCGCTCGTTTTATTGGCCAAGCTGACTCGGTTGACGTTTGTTTGTTTACAACCATAATTACCGATCGCCACCACCGCCGCAGTCTCTAAACGTGGTTGCTGTTTGCCAGGCTAATCTAATCGATTCCCCCACTCTCATATTCATACCTATTCATATTTGTGCAGAAAAGTAGGTAACCTCACCGCCGCCGCATGCTAAAAAATGTTTACATTTATATTTGTTTAGTAGTGTGCTGGTTAAACATGGATGAGGGTGTTGTGAGCTGTGATTGGTTGTTTGTGGCATCAATCATATTCTTACAGGTTGTCTGTCGGGCAAAACATGTTGCCGTTGCTGGAGCGGCTGGTAACAGTGGTTGGTACATTGTAAATCGGCGGGTTTTTAGCAAGTTAAATTAATTGCTACATTAGGAATGGTATTTATTTAACTGAGTTGTTTGGTGATTGTTACAATGTTTGCGAATAATGTTTGCATTGGAAGCTATTAGTTCGTTATCTCTATTCCAAGGAACTACCGAAAACGGATAGTATATCTTTATAACGTTGGTAAATAATAACAGGAATTTTCCAGTGAGAAATTTTCGAACGCGCAATAACCAGACAGTAAAAAAAATTACACAAATTTAAGTTCTTTACTCTCGAATTGAAACTTAGGTTGTGAGAGGATAATTTGAGTATAAAAGGTCAAAGAACATAGAACGAATCTCACTCCGTCTCGAGCAGTGACTCTTTCAGATTCAAATTAAACTTTAAACTTGGTCTATTTAAGCATCTTTTCAAACTTATTTTACCTGAAAAAAAGACTATCATTTGAAAAAAAAAGTTGTTTTTGGTTGCAACCCATCGAACTCACGATCATCATACGACTGATGGTAATAACGCTGTGTACATTTGAGTTGACGGTGAGATGAAGACCACTTCTTTTTACTCATAGAATGACAGTTGCTTATGGGATTTTCGGTGGATTGAACCCAAATAACACAATTCATAGAATCATGTTGAGTAAACTACTTTACAACAAAAACCAGTCATACAAAGGTTATATGAACTGTCATAGAACATGTGTGTTGCTTGGGAAAGGATATTAAACAGTACACCATGTTATGTTTCACACATAGACTGACTGTTGCGTGATGATTCTTCCCATTACTTCATTCGTTCTGCGGATTTGACAATCGATGCAGTGCAAACTCATAATTCCCTCAAAATTGATCGTTGACCCGGGAAAACATCGTGAAACGCACTAGTTTAGCTAGTGAAACGCACAAGTTTAGCTTGTTTAGTTCAACGTTGGTAATAGATCGATTGGTAGCTCAGCAACAAAAATGGAAAACTCATATCTGTTATACAAAGTACAACAGCGTGAGTAACGGAGGGTTAATATCACCTTGGAAGGTGTGATCCGAGGAACAAGAATATACACGAGTGGTACGATTTTCAGGAATCCCGTCCAGCTTCTTGGCTTCACCGGTGACATTGACATCATGGCACGAAACTGAGACGATGGCGGAAACGAACATCAGACTAAAGACTAAAATCAATTAGGATTGGACTCATCATTAATCATCGATGAAAACATACATGAGAGGTTCAAGAGAAGATAATGCTAGCCTCCCACCACGACTTCAGATTGACGGTGATAGAATCGAGGTGGTTGAGGAGTTTGTGTATCTGGGTTTACTGGTGACGGCCAATAATAACACCAGCAGAGAAATTCAATGACGCATTATGGCAGGCAATTGTGCTTACTTTGGACTCCGACGGACGCTCCGGTCGAATGAAGATCGCCAGTAGTCCTCTACGGCAACGCGGCGTGGACTATGCTCGAACGGAACGTGTTGCGTATCATCTACAGTGGAGTGTAGATGGACGACGGAACGTGGAGGAGGCACATGAACCGCGAATCGCACCAGCGAATGAACCACCCATCGTCCATACCGTAAATCTCGGGCGACTACGGTTGGCTGGGCACGTCGTCAGAATGTCGACAGCTCAGCGAAAATGGTTCTCGATATCGAACCGACTAGTACGCGACGAAGAGGCAAGATCAATCGACCTGGTGGAAGGCGACCTATGGAGCCTTCGCAGACTGCGAGGTAGGCGACGTGTAGCCATGGACCGAGTCGAGTAAAGACGACTTCTGTGTACAGCATCAGGCCTTAGCCTGACTGGTAAGGTAAGGTGGGTTCGTCCACTAGAGTATATCGTCTCAACAAGATGTTCTAGCTGCTTCCAATGAACAATCAGGTACTGATCGGCAACGTCCAGACTGAAACCGACTCACAATCCTGAACCAGATGGAATTCCGTCCGTATGCATGAAGGAACACTTAACTTGTTTACTGAAGCCTCTGCGTAATTTCTCTGGATTGTCTTTGAACACTGTAGTTTACCTGACCTGCTGGAAGAACGCCCATGTGTATCCAGTTCATAAGAATGGTGGCATGAAAGATATAGACAACTATATCGTAGAATCACTCCGCTGAGCGGCATATCGATTCTCTTCAAGTTAGGTGTTATGGAACTATTATTTTCTCATGATAAGCAGTATTTCCATGAAGTCCAACGACTACTAACCTGCTATGCTTCACATCATACGATGTTACAAGTAGTTTAGTTGGAAATCTACACCGATCTATCAGCACCATTGCCGAATGAGAACAATCACGCCATCGCCATTGACAAGCCAGCTTGGAGTTAAAAGATCGCTACTATCTTGGTTCCAGTCGTATCTTATCGAGCGCCAACTCAGTGTGTTTATAGACGATTTACAATCGATCCATTTCCTAGCAACATCTTGTTTTCTTCAGAGAAGTCAGCTCGGACCACTAATCTTTTCAATGTATGTGTGAACCGTGTACTAGAGGGACCCTGTTTGTCTTTTATTGATGATCATAAGATTTTCCACAAAATTCAAACACTCGCAGATGCTTTGTTTCTACAACTACAGATCGATGGATTCAGTGAAATATGATAAAGGCTTGATAGCCATTTTCTCTCGCAAAAAAGAGCCCTTAACGTTCAATTATACACTGCTAAGGGTTCCATTTTAAAAACTACAGGATTAATTTAAATACAACACTGATGGCAAGCCCTAACTTTGAATATGACTACCATCTGAAATGTCCGATTCCTCGGGAAAGTTCTTTGGAATCAGATGAAGTTTGGCTGCGTTTTCAGCAACAGTAGCATCTTGTGGACTAATAATGTATTGTCCGAGATGGAGTTACGAAGTCTAATATGATTAATCAATATTCACAGTATTTCTCATCTGTCTGGATACTGGCCCGTGATGATCGCTGGACCGAGATATCGCTTCCGCGATGGAGCATAGACACTGGTCAACGTCTTGTCTTCGGTTGAACATTCTAGTAGACAGTGGTGTATACGCAGTATTGGAACTTATAACCGTAAAATCTCTAAGAATTCCCATTAAAATTGACGCACGCTGAAATACTTAAGATTGATTAAACAGCTTCAAATAGCTGTACGATCGATGATGATTTCAGAGATTTTCAAGCTGTAAGCAATAATGTTTACTACTTTCGTTGGAATAAATCTTCAAAGTTCACTGAAGTTTTCTGCAATATCTATAAACAATTTGCCATCCTTTTGAGCTTCTCAAGCAGTCTGAGAAAAATTAATCAAATTTTGCATGAGTATAAATAGAACAGTTACTAAGTGTCAAATGTATTAATTAATACAAATAAGTGTTTAAATCTTAAAACCTAAGAAATCATTATCGATCGTACAGCTTTTTGAAGCTGTTTAATCAATCTTATTTCAGCGTGCATTAATTTTAGCTAACCTCCATTAGAACCATCCAACTTTACCCACAAATACAGTCCGTGAACCTCTATCGTAGTTACAACTGATAACGCAATCCAGCATAAACTCCGATACTCAACGCCACAGCCATAGGTGTGAATGGGTACAGAAAAGAGGCTTACGCAACGGCTTCGACAATCTCAATCCCACAAATCATACAACAACTCAATACTTTAGCTAGCTATATTAAATTAAATGTACACCTCTCCTGCACACCGCACGTTGTCGATGTTGTGTTTAACGGTCGGTGGTGGTCACCCCAATCGAAGTTGCTAATAGTTTGGTCAATGCAATTGCTGCAACCCGCAACCAGTCACCAGGCCAGTCACACACGGTTGGAAGATGATCAACCGCTCCAAAGAGAGGGCTTTATCAGGAGTCATAATTTTTACACTTCTTCGCTGGTACCACCGCTGATTGTCACAATACGGGGATGGGAGCGAGCAGCAGAATGTCAACCACCAACGACGGACACGGGACGACGGGAACTGTTTATCACTTTTATTAGTACGCGGTTGGTGTAGTTCTTTTTTTTTTCTGACCGTACATATTTCTTTCTATAATTTTACGTTTTGCTACGTTCCAACTCTGATTCGGCACTGTACATGGGTCGTTTTTCATTCCTCGTTTGTTGTGTGTTTCTTTTTTTCTTTCTGCACCGGAATGGTCTTGTTAGCGAGTACTTTATTATTTTTTGCTTGTTTATTAAATTTTATCTTTATTTCTGCGGTCTTACGCGTTGATTTAATTTTCTTTTCCTTTGCTTGCGTTTCTTGTTTCATTCCAGATTAATGTTGCCGTCCAATGTTTAAGTACAGATTTCAGCAGTCAAAAAGGTGTTAAGGTAATGTATTGTTACGGTTATTAGTGTCTAAGTTATGACTTTATATGGGTTTTTTTTTCGTGTCTTTTTTATCTACGAGGGAAAGTAAAACCCAATCAGTACACTTTTAGTTTTGTGCTGATTTCAAGGCGGAAAAGTTTCGGTTGCACAAAGTTGGTTCGGGCTTTGTTTATTGTACATATGTAATCGAAAAAAAAACAATCTTCTTCTAAGAACCACGCATTCCTCCACAGAGATAATACCATTGTGACGAAAATTAACGTGACGCCAGTGTAAGCTCAAAACTACCATCACATAATCAAACGCATGAAAAGCACACCGGCAACATCAAGAAAGGATTAATTCCCAGCATTAAAAACCGGGGACGAATTTTTAATGTTTTGATCTTCCTTTCTGACCTTTCCTTCCTCTTATTTCATTCGCTATCGAATTCATCCGAAAAAAAGCGACAGTCTTTCGATAGCCAGGAACGAATCCATTCAATTCGGAGATTATTTCGGTCCCATTTCTCAGCGTAAGGATCCTCCGGAGAAAGATAAGCAACTCGAAAAAAAAACTTAAATCCTTGCCTTAATTGGATTTCGATTTAATCCTCTTGGGCACCCTCGCCTTCACCTGCGCAATACCGACCCTGCCGGGGCCAAGAAACCAACCACGGAGACCTGATCGCATTTTAACGAGCCTCGAAGCCTATCAGCAGAATGAATGAAATCATCCAAGAACCGTTTGACCTTCATTTACCACTAATTACGATTGTGTGTATGGTGTGTACGTCGTACCTGCCTGAAAGCAGATCATAATGGATGTGTAGCCATTAACCCGTGTAGCAACCGAGCAAACTCACCTGCTTCGCTGATGATGATGATGATGATGCTCCACGATGATGGCCCTTGGATTCAATTACACTACTGCAGCCTCTGTGTAGCCTCCTTTGCCCTTTTACAGAGCAGCGATCAAGAGCCAGAGTGTAAGAGTGATTACGATCACGACTTGCGACTTACGACGACGACGACGACGACGACTCATTGATGGCTGGTCGTTGCGACGACCGGGTTGCCAATATTGACTGCTCCCGGCAAGGACCTACCACTTCGGGGCACACTATGAGTTTGCTCATAGCATAGGCGTGTACTGGTTTTTGCGAGATCATGGCCATTGAAGTTTGAAGATTAAATACATCGAGTCAGATTACTTTTTTTTTTCGATTTTAGCTTTATCGGTCATGGGTTAATCAAGCAGGAATACCGGTGTATAACCAGGAAATTTATTGCAACGGGGAACACTTTGCATGGACCAGGATCTTCAATTTGTATCTTAAATGGGATCTTGTTAAATTTTCACTATGTATCAACACATAATTTCTGTTCATCTATTCATCCATAGATTTTCTCAATCATTTTGTTAGACTAACCCCCGAAATGTCTTCAGAGATTTAGGATTCCCCACAAAAGTCTTATGATTCTTTCCAATATTCTTCAGAAATGTTCTCTATATCAGACTTGGGATTCTTTATAGTAATCTCTTCAGAAAATCATGGATTACAATTCTCATAAATTCTCGTGAGAATTTGCATAAATATCTCACAATTAATTCATTTAAAATATTTTTGAAATATTCCTCAGAATTCCGTTAAAGTTTATTTTAGAATCTTGGAAATCGTATTAGAATGATCTAAGATTTCAGGATGTACACCCCTTTCCCATAGAATTCTCCCAAAATTCCCATTCCTTCCCTTCCCCATAGAGTTCTCCTTGATACTATTCTCAAAATTTTCAAGAGATTCTCCTTGTGTTGCGTATTCAACCGCTCGACGATCCCCCCCCCCCCTTGTGATATTGTTGTGTGTTTGTTTGTCATTCTTCCGGTTTTTTCTCTAACACGCCCGTGTTGTCAATGAGCACAGTCACAATCAAGGAATCAAAAATATCTCCAAATGTCAAAATGCCAAGCGATCAACGAACCGAATGATAACGCTATGTCAGAAATTGAGTGTGTTGCAGCATGTGGAAAATACAGCAACTGTGCGTTTCATTTGCTCTGCTGAAAGATCTGTGCCCATCGCCATTGTTTGCAACACCTTGGAAATTCCATGGAATTCTATTGATACTCTTTCCCTGAAATTCTTCTTGGAAATCCCTAGAAACTCCCTTCAAAATACCTTCGGCCTGCTACTTAGAATCCCCATTGAATTCTCCTGACAATTTCGTTGAAATTCTCTCGTAATTCTTCAAAATTCAGCTGAGAACTCCCTTGAAACGGTAAAAAGGTAAATGAATCATTAAACAATGACGATGTTCCTTAATAAGTAAAAAACAATCTCCTTAAAATAGATCGGGTTGCTCCTTAAATGATTGATCAAAATACGTTAAAAATCTTAAAATGCTCAGTAAATATTTAAAGTACGCTCCCTAAAATAGAGAAAACTGTACATTAAGCATTTGAAAATGCTCCTTAGTATGCACCGCTTTGCACCATTTTGAAGTGTAATTGTACCATATATCATCGGAAAAGCTGCTGTAGAAAGGTTAATAAGTGCCATGAAATCAGCTGAAATGTTCAGTAAATCATTGTGTGCATTTGAGCATTTTTACTGAACATTTCAGCTGATTTCATTGTACTTATTAACCTTTCTACAGCAGCTTTTCCGATGATACATGGTACAATTACACTTCAAAATGGTGCAAAACGATGCATACTAAGGAGCATTTTCAAATGCTCAATGTACAGTTTTCTCTATTTTAGGGAGCGTACTTTAAATATTTACTGAGCATTTTAAGATTTTTAACGTATTTTGATCAATCATTTAAGGAGCAACCCGATCTATTTTAAGGAGATTTTTTTATTTATTAAGGATAATTTCATCTATTTTATTGAGCAAAAGTAGGGCTATGTTTATATAATTGCCTTTCTGCAATGAGTTGTTCAAAGGATTTTTTAAATTATCGTACAGGTTTGGGCCGATGGGGCCTCAGAATGTTATGAAATTTTGCCCGTGTATGATTATATGCAGGAATAAAAAATTTAAAACATTCAGGGTGGTTAATTTTCCCGGAAAATTCTAGTTGAAGATTTCGGATTTTTCCGGACATCAAGTACTTTAAAAATTCATAATTCATGAACTATGCATTGTGGCAAGAACGTTTCATAGCGAAATTATAAGGGAATTCCATACAACAGATTATCAGATAAATGTTTTCTACGAAAATTTTCACGGAACAGAAAAATCAAAATGATTTTGTTCATGCTTAAATACTGGTGAATATTTCAGAGAGGTGACTCTTACCGATTTTGAGTTATGATCAAAGCACTAACGGCCCGGAAAATTTTCGTTCAACTTCTCTTATATTTTCAAAGTTCACAAACTTTAAAAATCCATTCAGCGATTTTTTTTTTCAATAACATTTCTCTTGCATAAAAATGTCTTGCCAAATGTTTTTCAGATTATATTTTTTATGGATTGCAAAGATTATATCCTTATGTAACGAAACATTTAAACGATCTCTTATCATTTTCGATTTAGAGTTATTTTTCACAATAAGGTGTTCCTGAAAAAAAGGTTGTTTAGCTCTAAGGCATTTATTTCAAAGCTTTCATGAAAGCCGTTCTCGAGGAATTTGTAAAATTGTTAAATATACCCATTTTTGCCGAATAAAATACATCGATACCCCCGAAAAATCCCGAGATTTTCTTTTTTTAATACGCGCTAATTTACTCAGAATGCTGCAAATACATACAACTTTTCAAGTAATCATTCTAAACGGCATAGCTTGAAGTAAGTTGTTCAAACCAGTTGGAGGTATGTTTTTCGCTGAACTCAAATTAAAAAATAAAATTGCAAATAACTTAAAAAAAGAGATACAAACGGCTTTTTTTTTCAAGTAAAACGTGCGTCTATAAAAAAAAACTTCAAAGTTTTCTCAAAGAACCCTTTCATGAGAAATTATAATTAAAAAGGAAGTTATGATAGAATGAACTGTAACTAAATTTATTTTTTTTTCTTATTTCTTGAATCACCATATCGGGTCTAAATAAAGCAGAGCGTTATTGATTAAAGGCTACCAATGAATTATTCATGAATATTATGAATGAATATGAATATGATTAACGAATAGATTTAAATTAACAATGATTAATGAATAAAACAATTATTTACATGATTGATGATCATAATTTTACATATATGATTAATGATTAAAACTATTCTGAATTTTTTGGGTTAAGGAACAAAAGGTCGAAAGGAAAAAAGTCATAATGACAAAAGATCGAAATGACAAAAGGTCGAAATGACAAAAGGTTGAAATGACAAAAATGGTCGAAAGGACAAAAGGTCAAAATTACAAATGATCGACAGATAAAAAGTCGAAAGACAAGCGGTCTGAAGGGACATAAGGTCGAAAGGGCCATAAGATCGAAAGGGTCAAAAGTTTGAATGGGCATAAGGTCGAAAAGGAAAAAAAAAGTTGAAATTTAGATAGGTCGATAGGTTGAAAAACTAAATCTGATGTATATATTCCGAAACTGATTTGTTATGATAGCAATCTAATTTCCTTAAGTAAAGTATGATTTTAAACTGTTTCTCTTCTTTAAAATCCATTTGTGCTTTAACATTTGGTTTAAGATGACTTGTCAGAACATTATTTTTACTTAATGGTGAACGAAGAAATACGAGTTTCTATCTATTCAATATTTCATTCCTAAAACGACGGTCACTCTTACAAATGGATGAGGTTTTGGATGTCAACATTTTGTCCATTCGACACTTAGTGCCTTTTGACCTTCCGTTCTTTTACCTTCTGTTCTTTCGACATTCTGTCCTTCTGTTCATTTGTTTTTCGACGTTTTTTCATCGATTCTAAAGTGATCTTGAAAAAATTTGTAAGACTGAAAAATTCTATCCATTGCTGTAATGCCAAGTAATCAGAATATCCCATATTTAAGATGATCGTGATAAATGAAATATCATCGATCTTATAAAAATGTATATTACCTGAAAGCATATT